AATACTTAAGAGTAGCTCTTACTATCTGAGAGTATTTATTTGTATCAAGTATAAATATTGCGTCAAAAACTAAGTAACTACGTCTTCTTAACTTTACATGAACAGATTGTTTATTTAATATAAACTCACTAATGTATACCATTCAAGGCATAACAGCACTCGTCACTTTCTAGATATTTATAATATCTAAACAAATACAATAAATACGTCCTTTTACAAAATAACTAATACAAAACTGTCTTCGCATACTTCATAGCTATGTCCGTAACAATGAATACACTCGAGTGCATTTTTATCACAAAGTAACTGGCTGTTGCAGCGAAGCTTTACCTACATGTCTCTTTTCATGTCAGGGACATACACATGTTAGTTGACAGAGTATCTTTTACTGTTCACTTGGTATTCCATAATTTCCATTCCCAAGTATAACTTCTTTTCTAAAAACAATTCACACAAAAAACAATAAATACAATAATAGAGAGATGTTATCATTGATTACTGTTTATGGTCACAGAAGTATTATAATTGAATCGAAATAAATGTGAGGTTAAATTTCAACGTGACTCGTACAACTCTGGTATCAGAAAATCTTATATGCATAAAGAGAAAAGAGCTTCTATGATACGGGAAAAAGAATTTCTCATTGCTCGTTTATTATCGCCTGATAGATCGTACTTTTCTCCCTTAATGGAAAAGTTCTTGGAAAGTACTTTCTTCCGTCTCCGGGCAATAGTTAGTACGATATAACTTTGTGAAAATAGCATTAAAAGCAGTTCTACAAACTAATATTTAAAAAACATAATATTAAACATCTTTACATAAACTTTCCGCAATCAAAATGTATGTTTTAGACTTGATTACATAAGATTACTAAATCAATATTAAATTTTGTACGCAACAATAAAAACGTTCATCCATAAACAAATGCTCTTGGAATTTATCAGTACTAATTCGACATTTTACAAAAACGAGTCTAGCCATACACCATGTCTATTCTACACCAGTTTGACACAAAGAATAGTCGCCTTTTCTTAAACATAACAATGTAGATTGATGATATGATGATGATGATGATGATGATCTGATGACGATGATGAGTTGAAAAGCATTTAACTTTTTTTTGTTACAAAAACGTTAACAATAATTTAATTTGTATCACAAACCAAGGAAGGACAGAAAACTGTAAATTATAATAAGCATTTTCTTTTAGGTCAAACATATAAACAAATGCCACTGTAGGAGATTTCAAGTTTTTAATAGTGTTGAAAAGTTTTGCTTTGAGCGTTGAATATGCGGGCGTAATCTCTTTGCATCGAGAAAGTAGTTGCCACGAACTCAATTACACTTGGCAAAACCGTTTTATAAAAAAATATATTTTCATGTCGTAAAACGTTAGGCTGCTTGCTATTCTAAGTACATACGCAAAAAAAGTATTAAGGCCTAGTCACCCCAACATGAGGTAGGCTGCCCCTCGGTGGGGAAGTATACTAGATGACGTCGACATTAGTGCTAAAATAAATAAATTTGTAGTAGAGTTAGGAATACTATCTCTCTATCTTTTATACGTCTGAAATATAAAAGCCATTTATATTAAGATAAATTGTATATTCTGATTTAACCAATATGTATTCATAAAACTGTAACATGCTTGTATATGTAAAGTTATAACAAAGTAGAAAAATCTCGAATAAAATATGCAAGACAAAATTACTCTTGGGAACAAAGAATACTAAACAACAATGTTTCGCTATAAAGTTTTGAAACTTCATCAAAGAATAAGAATACTGAATAGTGTATTTTCATTTGAAAAGAAAGTCATCATGTATCTGCATTGATTCTAATACACATAACAGACTAAACCTAATCTATGTACATTTCTATACTGTTATAAAGAGGAGAATTTTTTATGTATTGGAATAACTCAAAAGGTACAGTGCCGATTTCAAAAAATACATTCTCAATGAGTAACGTAGGTTATGTTTATATTGTTTTTTTTTTAATTTCTCGGGGAAAAAGTCGCGAGTAACAGCTAGTCACATATATTTTTTGTGAATATTGAAGTAGTTCACACTCAGATCATTATTTAAAGTATTTGAAACATCTTTTATATGGTTTTATTTAAGAAATTTATTGTTGCTGTTATTAAATTTTATATGTATTTATTATAACGATGTAACAATATTATTGAAATGCATACGTTAGTGTAAAGTTTTGAGAAAAGTGCGGAAAGGAATTCAGTAGCAGGCGTTTATGCGCATTCGGTTTGTTATAAGTTTCAAGCGCAAGCGGCCGGCAGCTACAACAGCTACTCGACTGCTTGCCTACTTCACTTACCAGCAATTTAAACTTATAAAACTTGAATTATTTTTAATCACACTATTCCATACATAATACCGTGAAGAAATCGCATTTTTAAATCATGCTATTAATACAAAATATGAAATGATTACTACAATTTTTTTCTATGAAGGGTTTATAATAGAGTTTGCAAAAGTTATACAATATTAAATCATCTCTTAGATAAACAAAAGCTATGTAATGAAATACGCCAGAGCGAAGTACACAAAGGTAAAGTTTGTTAATGAGCAGACAGTACCTACCTATTGCTCCAGACAGTTGCGTGAAAAAGATCAAATAATTTTAGTTTCTAGTAATAAATCATGAATAGAGGGTTTTTTTGTGAAATCCATTACATTTAAAACAACAAAGATTTAGTTGTTCTAAAAACATTTTAAAAGATGTAGATTGTCTTCAACTCTTTTGTTTATTTTTATTTTTTCTTTATTTAATCAGCATATCGTTAAAAAAAGACCGACGGATATTAAACTAGTTTGAACTACCAAGCATCTTCCTTTACAATTGAATAAAAAAAATTGAATATGTTAATAACATTTTTATTCTGTAAAGAAATAAGATAAATCAAAATAAGCAATCCATCAAGATGAATTGTCGATAACTAAACTTCCGTAAGCACCGAAACAGTAAGGTAATCCTGTTATACTTTCGTACAAATCCGGAAAAACAGCAACAGTACCGTCACTATTGTTATGCGATAAAACCAACAGAAAAGCGGTTTACCGGACAAGGGAAATGAAGTTTTCAAATACTTTTTCAATTGTCTCACGGCTCTGAATTGGTCTCCAACTCCCCTAAACTTCTATTGATCTTTTCGCGAACAAAACGTTACTTTCTGTTTTCTACAAATGTGACTCGCTGATACAAGACCATCAACGGAGTTTTGTTCTCGTTTGTGTATATTTTATAATTTAATCCTACACAGTTGTGAAACTCCAAAATTTATCTTTTTAGCAAACCATAAATAAAATAATAATGTGAAATGTCTAATTTAATGCCATTAACAAGAAAAATCTCAGTACTCCATTTACCTCTTCGAAAATATATCAGCAAGTTAATTTAGAAACAAATGTGCTGAGTGAACCAACCCGACAAAGACAAACTGCGCCTAACCCTTTCAGCATCGTAATCTCTCAGGTCCAATTACATTACACATAAATATATGTCTTACATCAGGATTTATAAAATTATATCAACAATTATTTTTTATATTTTATGTTGCTATTTTTTTTTTACACATATATGAATTAGAATATTCCAGTCATGAAAATCGATAGTACTACCATCTACAATCTTAGTTCTGTCGTAGAGTTCAATTGTACACTACATTGATTTTTAATTTAACTCGAAGCGGAGTTTTAAAGAAACGAATCTGCCGCCGCGTCTGTAGTACAAATTGTGTTCACCGCCGACCCCCTATCGCGTAGACAATTTCAATTATCTTGAAGAAAAGTTGCAGTGAGTTGCAATTCTTTATTCTTTAATAATACCAGCTTTCGTATCCGCATTGAATAAAGCCATTTCTTTTAAATTATTTTTGAAGACTTCAAAAAAGAGGAGGTTCTGAAATCCTTTTATTTTTTCTCAGTACATCTCGAACTACGAGAACGCTTGTACATAACATATTAAAAACAACATAAACAAGAATGGTTTTATACAAGAATTACAACTCTAGAGTTTCCCTGAATAATTTAATTAAATGTTATACAAATTGTTTAATTAGCAAATACACATCTGTAATCACTTAATTTAAAAAATAAAATGTATATGTGTTATGTTAGCAAATAATAAAGAATATTCTTCGATAACCTACCTAATAATTAATTTTTGGCCAGTTTTACAAAAATAGGAAGATTTTGTCGACCTTAATTTCCCACGTGACTATTCAGGGGCATATTTTTTAATTGTTCATGAGATCAGTATTATTGATTGCTTGTTTTTTCTTTCGTGATATTTGCTGTTGTTATATTTTCTACTTTAAAATTCCAATATTTCTTGATTTTTTACGGCAATAGACTGTTATCGTTTCATGCGTACTTGTGGTTACTAAAAATTATACAGTTCATTTAACACGTAAGCAAACATGAAGCAATGACGTGGTTTTCTCAACACATTTCCCTTTTCTACGCTGTGAGTTGGCAGTCGGGTAATACGTGAAACTCGTAAACAGACGCACGGAAATGAAAGCAAAGCACATACGGAAATGAAGGAAACCGCAGATACGTCCCGAGCCCGCACGCACTTTGTTGGTTATAGCGTCTTACAACTTTCTCGTGCCAACTATATTTAACTAAATAAATAACTAGACGAATTTCATTCAATTATGCATTATCAAAAATCAAAAAGACGGAGATTGCTAGATGGCTCAGTATTTCTTCATGCTAATAGATGACCCAGTTCCAATTATGTGAAAATTAGTTAATTATGTCTTGTTAGAAAGTTGTCTCTTGTCGAAAGAAATAACATCAAATATCAACACAGATTTTGAAAAAAATCGTGATAAAATCTCTTTATAACGATGATTTCTTACTCCTTAAGATATAAGACACGAACTCTTCGGGTGACTATAATTCTTCAGGGAGCATCAATTCAAGGGTTTCGAAACAAGGAAAACGTGCGAAGTACGCGTTCAAAATAAACCAAAATTGTACTGAAATAAACTTTACTTACAATAATTTATTTGTACAAATGTGTAAAATATGCCCAAATTTTATTATGGCGAGGACTTAGTCACATAAAGTACTAGAGGTAAGTTATAGTATTCAACAAATAGATTTGTTATTGTAATAAAATATTTACAATTTCAATAAAGTAATGGAGTAATATAGTTATAGCGGAACCAAAGTTGTAATTAACTGCTTATAACAAGTTCTCAAGTTCTAGTTTTTTTTTATTAATTATGTACGTAAGTACAAGAAGGTATAACCTCTTGTACTGCATTGAAAACGTTAATAAACCTAACCACCAAAATATAATTACAAATATTACAAATGCTTTCAGGCCTTGAAAAAACTTATTCTACAATTTTCAAACATTTCTTTTTTAACTCAACAACAATTTAATCAATTGATTTAATTCTATAACAAGATTTTTATAACGGATGTTTCCTAAAACCGCACATAAATTTAAAATTCGAAGCATTAAATATGAAATGAACATAACAATAGAAAGCAAACGTTTTAAACCTTGCATAAAACAACTTGATTACGATTCGCTCAAAATGTTAACAAAACATAATAATAAAACTACATCTAATTCAAACAACGAACTAAATAACCCTGTCAAATCTGGGGCTATAAACTCGTTTTACATCTAATAGTCGGTAGTAATTATTTGTCACACAAATATAGTTGGGCTTAGGTATATTTTATATTCTACAACTTGTACAAAGCATGTAATAACTAATTTAAACAATGAATAAACTATTTTTATTAATAAATCCAACTGAATGTATCCATTTTACTCTCTAGAAAATACGAATTGAGTGAGAATGTTATTAATTCGGCAGTGAATTCTAGTATATAAATACATACTGGTAAAAACATTTTTCCCTATTCGCCGTCGGGCAAAAACGTTAGACATTATTTACAATAAACACCATAATACAACTCGATTTAGTTAAGTTTATACAGTATTTCTTCAATTTACAATTCGATTCTCACACATGATTAAAAGAAAAGCATAAGTTTTAATAGAATTGAGAAGTCAAATTATTAATTGTGAATTGTTATAAAATTGATATTTGCGTGCTGTGTGTGACGTCATACCACTGCTTGCTAAATCTGCACCAATAATTGAAATAATATAACGTCTACATATCAAGATAAACTAATACAATTGTTAGCCAATGGTAAAAAGCCTTCGTTGTTATTTGTGCCATTGAAGGTTGAAAGTTTTATAAATGTAATCAATAAAATAAAGTCCTATATGCCGATTAAGGGGGGGGGAACAGCTGGCATTTTTTTATAAAAAAAAATAGTATATTTTTGTTAATTTATTAACATTTCCTTTAGCAATTCCGACTAAGCTCTAGGCTTGTGCCTCTAGAATATGGTTTACATTAATATTCGAATGGCGGGATTCGAACCCTCGACCACAAGGTCAGCAGTCCGTATCCCAAATGATTTGGATATTAACGCTTACCACTAGGCTATTGGATGACCATTAAGCTATTGGCGCTAACCATTCCACTATTGGCGCTTACCATTAGGCTATTTTCGCTTGCTTAGTCTGTTTTAAAAGTATCAGTACAGGATCTGGTGATGCGGCATCGTCTCGCGTACTCCGGCGCGAGCTGGTGGAGCCAGTGCGGCTGCACCACGGACACGGTGAGCAGGTAGGCGCGGCGCGTGTGCAGCAGCTCGCTGTACAGCAGCGCGGCGGGCGCGGGCCGCAGCGCGTGCAGCACGCTGCCCGGGTGCAGCGCCGCGCACGCCCCCCCGCACGTCACGTACTTCGCCCCGCCCACACCGCCCACCCCGCCCACCGCCCCGCCGCGCAACCACGCGCAGTTCGTAAACAAACCGCTCAACAAACATTTTAATAACTGAAATAGAATAAAAAATCTAAACTGGTCTATACTAATATAATACGAGTAAACACACTTTCTTATGTCGGATCTCAGCTATTATGGAATAATTATTTTTTAGATAAAATACTCTAACGGCACGCTATAGGTTTTATATATTCACGCTATTTAATTTAGGGTAGTTATGTATTTTGGAATAAATTTCATGAGTAAAATTTGGAATCTTGGGGATGACGCTGTATGGGAACAGATAGTAATTAATAATTGAGTGCCAATAACCTAATGGTTAGTAGTACGGATTAACGATCACGTGGTCAAGGGTTCGAATCCCGCCGATTCGACTATTGTCTTAAACCATATTCTAGCACAAGCGCAGAGCTTAGTGGAAATGGTAAAAGAAATATTAGTAAATTTACAAAAATTCTCTTAAAGATTTAAAAAAAAACAACACTTGCTTAGTGACTACTTAACTACTTTAGAGACGTCATGTTGACGTACTGGTCGTTCGTACCGTTCCTATTCACGCATAGTGCAAGCATACATAACATAAAATTAATCTCCTTTATATTTAAATCCTCACACCTTTTTGTTTTATTATGGGTATGGGTAATAACAATTATCATAGTAATGTTTTGTTACCTGGTCTAATGCAGTTCCACAACTTGTCACCGTCATGTTAAGTCTATGACATATAGCCAGCAGTTGTTGCCTCACGTCATACGCATACGCCAAATTCTTGTGATTTAAGTAATTCTCTTTACACCATTGCTGTGAAAACGTTTGGAAAAATAAGTACTGTTATATTATTTAACATTTAAATATACATTAAGTAGTTATGTTTGTTAATTAGTAATAACTGACATAAATTTTAACATACCTTTTTAAGAGGCGCTTTGCAAAATGCTTTAAAAACATTTAAAAGTGTAATATGATCTCCTAGTGTTGATACAAATTTTTGTTTTACTTTGAGTGCTTCTTCCCTTTTGTGCATTGGCATATGAAATACGTTCTCACTTGATAAAACTGCCACTAAACTTAATGCCTATAACAAATTAAATAAAAATTAATATGACAACAGATATGTAGTCAAATCTTACCAACAAATATCAATGTTGCCACATAAAAAAAGAAAACCATTTACTCTGGCAACACCTTAAAATAAATGATGTGTACCTAGTAAATTTAAGGTCATTATAAGATTGTTTTAATTTAACCAAATCTCTATTAATCAATAATAGTTAAAAAGTTTTGAGCAAATAAAAAAACGCTCACCTCATCTAAGCAGTCATATTCAGGAGCACTCAATAAAACCTTAGAATATTTTGGATCGATCGGGAAAGCTGTCATTTTTTTGCCGAGAACTGTCAACTTTGGACTTGTTTCATTGTCAATAGCACCTGAAAGATAAAATTGAACATAACCCACACAAGTAATAACAACAATAAAGCTGAAGCATAATTAGTTATTGTTAATCTTACCTAACTCCTTGAGTAATAACAAAGACGCTTTAACAGATTCTTCGGGCGGTGGATCAATTAATGGAAATGTAAGAGGATCAAAACCTGAAGCTATTAGCAATAATATAGTCGAAGCGAGGGGGCATCTGTAACAAATTACATCGTTTATTACACAATTTACTCAGATTTTTACCATTATTTCACTTACAAAAATCAAGACTTTTTATAATTCTGGATAAGCGGGAGCAGGATATCCTACAATATTAAGGGCCTGTCCCACCACATTATTAATTGTGTGATAACAATGCAACGTGTAAAATGGGTGATGAAAAAACGAATTTTATTACCTTATCTGACAGGGATGTCATTTTTAAGCTATCTGAGGCTCTATCAACCAGTGGTGGGACAGGCCCTAAGTGTTACACATTTGAACAGTTTCTTTCTACCACCCATACCAAAACTAGTTGATATTCAGACCTGACTATCTCTGGAGTGTTGTGAGGTTTCCTGGCGGCGAAGTCTGCGTCAGTGTAGAGGCGGTAGGCGGCGCCGCGCGCGGTGCGTCCCGCGCGCCCCGCCCGCTGCCACGCCGCCGCCTGCGAGCACGGCAACACGCGCAGCCGCTCCGCGCCCGTGCTCGTGCACCAAGTTCTGACACCAACACACCAATAATTCGTACCATTCAAAATTTAACAATCTATGCATACATATATATCTTCACTAACATTATAAAGAGGAAAGATGTGTATTTTCGTATTTATTGAGATTTATTTTTAAATTCTTTTACCATTAGAAAGGAAATTTATCTGTGAGTAACATAGGCTACATTTTATTATTACTAATATAAACTATTAATAAACAACACATTTTTTTACCTTTCTTTCACAAATCCAGTGTCAATGATACATTTGATTTGTGGTATAGTAACAGATGCCTCAGCAATATTAGTTGCCAACACAATTTTCCTCATTCCGGGTGGAGTTTTCTTCCACACTTGTAATTGCTTAGCAGCAGGAAGTCCGGCGTACAAGGGGCACACCCTTATCAGAGGTCCTGGTGATTCCTGGAATAGAAATTTGTTTATCAAGACTATATTACTACAATTGTGTCAATTTTAACAAACACATAGTGGGTGGAGTGAAATATATTCCAAGAGTTTTCATTCCTAATTTATGGTATATCAACTCTTAGGCTAAAAGAAAAATAAACAGTATAAACCAATTCATAAAAAGCTTACCTTAGCAATTTGTTTAATATTGCTCATCAGAGTTTCAATCTCTTCCTGGCCAGTTAAGAATACAAGAAAATCATGGCTAGAAATTATAAATCACATTAATGCCTATCATTAATTATTGTTAATTAATTTGCATTAAGATAACTATGATAATTACTTGGCTGGTGAAGTTGCATGGAGTTGGAATATTGTACACAATGCTGCATACTGATAATCGTCTTGTTTCATTTTGGTATGATATATTGTTACAGGGTGCGTTCTGCCTTCCAAATATATTACTGGACATTCATCATAATATTTCCTAAATGAATCCACATCCATTGTTGCTGACATTATTATCACCTACAATAATATAATTTTACGTAAAAGAAACCAATCACAATGTCACTTGTACACACATTTTCCAAGCAAATACCTTTAAAGGTAGAAGTTTCTTTTCATTTCTTTCTTTTTGAGCTAATTTAACAATTCCAAATAGGACATCAGTATTTACAGTACGCTCATGTGCCTCATCCAATATTATAAATGAGTACCTTTTCAATAATGGGTCAGCAACTGCCTCCCTTAGCAACATGCCATCAGTTAAATACTTTACTTTGGTCCTTACACTGGTGACATCTTCAAACCTAACACAATACCTGAAAATTTTTTGCAGATTATAACATGGAATTCAAGTTAAAAGTTAAGATTAATGAATCCTAAGACCCTGTACAAAATAGTTGAGTATTCAAATTAAAGTAATTATAAATTACCCAACAATAGATCCTATTTCAGTATTCATTTCTGCTGCGACACGCATAGCCAAGGTAATAGCTGCAACTCTCCTGGGCTGTGTTACTGCAATAGAACCTAACCCTTCAAGACGTTGTTCATGTATGAGTTGTGGTACTTGTGTAGTTTTACCACTGCCTGTTTCTCCAATAAGTATCATTGTGTCATTCTTCTTTACTTCTTCTAATAATCTGTTTTAATTCATATTAATGTTTAGAGGAAAGCATTACATCGACTCTTAAAGCAAGGTTAAGATACTTTTATTTAGAAAAATAAGAATTTACCTATTTCTTACAGCATACACAGGTAACAACTTTCGTGTTTCCTTTAAGTCTTCAACAAATGCCTCCTTTATATCGTGTTGATCCGTAACTTGTTGGTTGGCAACGCGGTTTCCATTTAGTTTTGATGAGTTTCCTACGCATAACTTAATACGTTTAACTTTAATTCCATTTGATTTTTTTTTATTATTTTCTTTGCCAAGAACTGCGTATTTTGAATCCATTTTAAATCGTATAAATAAATTTATTGACTTTACATCATAATAGAATTGTATTGTAGGATTTACAACTACTTATTTATATTTTAAGGTTATGTTTACTGCTTGACAAAACTGCTTTAATACACTACGATGAGTATTGTTAAATTACAAATTACGAATATTTAGCACAAACATAATCAAAACTAGCAGTATGTAAACGACGTTTTGATGTTTATCATCCTTTTTCTTATGTTATTGCTTTAATTCAAAAACACACAAGTAAAGCCCCCTGTAAGGCCAAAATGTATGTGCCAAAAAATGTCAATGTCAAGCAAATAAAGCAATGCTTTGGTCAGTCACAGACTATTTAACCGGTGCTACTTCACACTTCGTGAAGAAAATTGTATACGCTTGTAAAATCCTTTTAAAATATGTTCTATCTTTCATTCTCATTGTGAAGGCATTTACCGGCAGTAAAAACAAACGGATAGGAAAAAAAAGCCTTTTTAATTTTTGTCGTTTCTATTCATTAAATCACATTTTAAAACAACATTCGACATCTTTCTGTCAGTCATTTTTGTTTTTGTTGGTTTTCGTGAAAAATTCTGAAAACCTGAAAGCTTATCAGAAATCAGTGTCACTGTGACAGCTGACAGTGTCGTTGTCGTATTGTTTTGGTTTTGATTTCTAATTCTAATATTATTTAATCAATATTGTATATATGAAATAGCATTTGAATAAAATTAAAAATTATTTAAACTATATATTAGTAAAATGCTACACATAAAATCTGTCTGCCGCTGTATACAACACAATGTTTATAAATCTCGTTATTATACCACAAGAAAGAATCCTTTTGTTAAGACATGGAACACACTGTCTAATGATATGTTAATTAAAAAACGTGCCGTTTATCCTGAACACGCTGATGTCGTTATAATAGGTGGAGGTTTTATTGGATCTTCGGTTGGATATTGGTTAAAGACTAGAGCTGGATCAGGACTCTCGGTTGTTATTTTAGAGAAAGATTTATCTGTAAGTATTAACAGTATATCTTAATTTTGTATAATAATTTATTTATAACAACTGTAAAATTTATTTCAGTACGCACAAGTTCAAAATAATGTATCTCTGGGAACCTTAACCCAACATTTTTCTTTACCAGAAAACATCCAATTAGCTCAGTATTCTGCAGAGTTCTTCAGAAATATTAAACTTAATTTAAATAGCGAGACAGACATTAAATACAGACCAAATGGAAATTTAATACTGGCAAGTGAAAAGTATGCTCAGAGATTGGAACAAAATGTGGCAATTCAAAAAGAGTTTGGTGTTAAAAATGAATTACTCACAGCTGCTGATGTTAAAGAGAAATATCCATGGATAAATACAACTGACATTGAACTAGGTAGTATTATTTTGCTTTATTATTGGTAGCATGAGTTTTGCTTATAAAGCTTATTCATTATTAAATCACCATAACTCATGGGACATTAGATTCTACGCTGAAATGTATTGGTCAGCAAAATCAAATAATATTGTACCATGATTCAGATATTTTGCCAAATATAAACTTTTATTTTACCAAAACAATAATATGAAAAAATTAAACTTCCTGTTACATATTATTTCATTTATTTTATTTACTACATTTTCAGGTTGCGTAAGTACAGAATGTGAAGGGACTTTTAATCCGGAGGCATTTTTAAAAGGACTTGTTTTAAAAAATAGTGATCTTGGTGTCAAATATGTTGATGCTGAAGTAATTGGATTTGATATGGAACAACAGCGTGATGTTTTAATGGAAGGAGTGACCCCAGGAGGTTTTAGGAAAATCAGTAAAGTTACATATAGGACAAAGGACAATGAAGAATATGAAATAAAGTTTGCCATTTGCATCTTAGCAGCTGGCGGTTGTTCGGGTGAAGTAGCTAAGTCTGCTCAAATAGGTGTTGGAGATGGATTGCTAAAGATACCTTTACCTATTCAACATCGGTAAATACAGAGTTATTTATGATTATGATTTTTTTTACAAGCTTAACATGCACTAACATGTACTCTGTTTAAAGTGAATACAACATTTATAACATTCAAGATGAAAATAGCAAGGTTAGTATTAATACACCAGTTATAATGGATACAAGCGGCCTTTGGTTACAACAGAATGCACTTGACAACAACTTTTTATGTGGATATACACCTTTATCAACAAATAGTGTCAAAGAATTGCTGGCTGAAAATTTTTATGAAGAGATGATTAAACCTTCTTTATTCAATAGGTATCCAAAATTTCAAGAACACCAGGTGAGCTAGCAATTGTTTTTAACTAAACCATGTTACTTATATTTAGCTCAATTACAAACCTGTACCTGATTTTAAATTTCAGATTAAAGTATTACGGACAGAATTTCAAGATTGCAATACTTATGATGAAACTGGTATTCTTGGTTCACATCCTTACCACATCAACTTGGTCATAGCAGCTGGTTTTGGCAAATTGGGTAAATTGCTTTTTTAGAATAAATCATTTTATTTATTTAAAGTGGTTAAAACTTCTAACTTGGAAATAAAGTATACTTTGACAATCCAAAAAAAATGATTTATTAGATTCATATTACTAAAGTTTGTTTTAATCTATTTATTATTCCAAATATACTATATTAATAACTAATGTTTATGTGATACATTTTTTTATTTCCACTGTTTTAGGTTGTCAGCATGCTCCAGGAATAGGAAGGGCAATTGCAGAATCAATCATTGATGGTCATTATTCTAGTATCGACCTAACAAGATTTGGGTTTGATAGACTATTGATAGATGAGCCTTTAGTTGAATTTAATGTTTATTAGTTGTGCTATGTAATGTTTTATTAAATATGTGTAAGTAATGTAATAAGTTAAAATAAAATACAACATGGATTTAAATAACATTTTAGGTCTATTACTCATGAAACTTGCTCACTATTTAAAAATGAAATAAATTCAGAAATGAAAAAAAAAAACATTTTCTTATAGAAATCCCTACATTTTAATTAAATCCACTATAATTCTTACTACTTCTAATTACAACTTTATAAATAAATAGATTTTTACTTAAATTGAGGTGTTGCAGTAAACATTGCACCACCTTGTTTAGATGCAGCCCTTGATGGAGCAAATCCTAAGAGCTTTTGAATATTTTGCCTGAAACAAAAATTACATTTGCAAGTCATGAATGAGTTTAAACATGTTCCAATTTAAAAATTCACAATTACCTTATGCTCATAGTACAGAGTATATACAAAAAGATGAATGAGCAATCTGTATAGTTGTCTCCAGGAAGGTTTCTATGACTCAGTCCTTGTATCCAGGTAATAGGATGAAATGGCAACTTGGCCACGACTCTGCCATCAAAACTGAAATAGTATAAATTATAAAAAGCGGCAGAATCATTATTTTGTTATTATCATAGAATGAACAAGCTTTACCAAGTTAACTGAAACACACTCTACCTATAGACTTAGTTATGGCCAATTCTCTGTTCCTCTGAGTTGAAATCAAAAACTTTATGAATTCTGAAAGTGTAATTACCTACCTAACAAAACTTTTAAAATAAAAAATTAGCAATTTCAATTATCGGGTGTAGTACATGAAGACATGTTTCAAAGTTTTATTTATTAATTATTACATAACTAGCTGTTCCCTTGCGACTTTATCTGCACAGAATTATGAAAATTTCAATTTATTGTTTACATGTGTCAAATTATCAATTGCAAATGTCAGAATGACATGACATGATGACAAACCATGACAACCTTGCTTCCTTGATGTTGGCAGCAACTTATGGTCTCTTTCCAACATTAGGGTTTTTATTCAAAATACTTACCCCTAAGTGTAATGGCGTGAAAATATATAGCCTAAAGCATAACGGAAGTGTAGGGATTTTTATTAAAGGAAGAGTTATCTAATAATGTGTTGTAATTTCTGACATCTAAGGCAACAAAGAAGTGTGTGTTTACGCTTTATTATAATAGTATAGATTGAAGATTAATGAAAATGTGAAATCAGATAATTCTTGATAAACATTGTTAGGTAAGCTATAAAAATATTGACATACTTACATGCTATTAAACATACTCAAGAGTGCTGTGAAAGCAAAACCAATTGCAAACATTGATTTCATCTTAACAAGTGACAGATCTCTGTTATTATTCTTCAACCTTTCTTCTTCTCTTCCAATTTTCTTTTTGTGTTGCTTATCCAGAGAATCCCCATGGGCTTCTTTACGTTTCTCCACTAAAATATATGACAATGAAATAAATAATACTTAATATGTAGGTGATGTATAATGACAAACATATTAAATTTTCAGGATAAAAAAGATCATATTTTCCCACCCACTATGTTTGATTCTAAATAAAATATTAAATGAACACTGACCTTAACATTAACTAAATTATATAAATAAAGTTTACAAAAGAATTATGAATGGAAATTAACTAATTGCTAAATCAACCATTGATCCAGGGGGATGAAAAAAAGATCAAATAAAGGGTCAGTGTTTCAACTATTCATTTTATTTATTCAACTAGTGGAATTCAACATAAATTAATAAATTAACTTGGTAAATCAAACAAATAAGTTTTTTTGTTTATACCAAAACCGTCAATGAATCCTAAATTACAATGGATTGTTCAATTATTCATTTAAAAATTTAAATGATGTTTAACAGACAAATTCTAAATGCAATCTGGACACAATAATCAAATATTTATATTAACAATAGTATCACCAACTTGTTTAATGCAAATTTAATTAAAGCACACACAAGCACTTACGTTTTTTACTTTGGCGTTCGACTTCTACCTTAAGTTTTTGATATTTTTCTGTTCTGTACACCAAAACCCAAGTCAAACCTTAAAAAAAGGGTTATTTGTATTTTACCGACTAAAGTCTAAAATTATTATTTATGTGTAAATACGTAATAAAATCGGTACCTTCTCCTAAAAAAGCTGTGCATATTGAAATAAAAACAATCAATAAAGAATCGCCCCACATTTTATCACTTAATACAGATTGCACCTTTCAATACACAATATAATTTTCAATGAGATGTATTAAACACTTTGGAAATCGAGATCTAAGATATTAATTAATAAAAGATGCAATGAATTCATTAATTGTTTTCAATTAATTATTTTTTATATGGATTCTTGATTATAGAAAAACGTAAATTTTTGGATAGGAGAGGCACAACGACAATGACAAGTTGGCAAGTGACACTTGACAACTTGACATTGCCAACCTGTCATTGAATGTATAAATCCAGAGTTCATTAAAGTCTACTATAGGACATATTATGATTACAATTATTGTTGAAAACATTATTTTTAACATTAAGAAAATTATTTTATGAGTCGTTTAATGTTTTTACTTTTTACTAGCACAGAAATAAAAAAAAAGATTTCCCCCAACCCTCTTTCTGGTGTTACCAGTCTCATAAACATAATTCCATTCACCATTCAATTCTATTTCCTGTGAACGGAAAGACTAAAACTGAACCACAATTAGTATTTTTGCGTCACTCAATTTCCAATTTTCTTGCTTGTAGGTTGTGCTAATCGGCTAGCTAAGGACAAATCGGACGCCATTTTGTCCTACGCCTGGATTGCAACATTTTGATTATTAGTGTATATAACAATTTTGAATCAATTAAATTAAATTAACATAATTTTAAAAACAACAACTGTTCGATAATAAATATATCAGGATACTTAACATTTTTTTCAAATACTGTAGGCACTGTTGTGATAAGACATTTTATTATTTGTGAAGGATTATGTATCTAGAAACTAAGATTTATGTATGTGTTTTCGTAAAATGTATTCCACGAGTACAGGATTACATAAATCTTTAAAAGTACGCCGCCATTTTATATCACGAATGTCATGCGTGGCGCGTGATTGCTACACGTCATCGTTGCCCATGTTGTAAAGAGCAGAAATAAAATTAGCATCATGGTAAGTTTTGTATTTATTGATCTCATAATTTTTTGTTTAGCTTTAATGTTATGTAAAATAAAATCCGTAACAAAGTACTAAGCAGGAATGTACCTATGAATTAACTCTTAAACCACATTACTCTGCTTCAGAATTCAAGTTATGTAACAAACTTGTATAAAAAGTCGTACAAACTAGAATGTCAAAGAATTATGGACGCTACATATAAATGAACCAAAGGGAATGACGTCATACTTTTATTTCAAGCCCATTCTCAACTTCAAAATAAAGTATAACCGACTATTTTAATTCAATGTCCGGATTTAGTGACAGGGTTTATATTTCCTTTGGAATTTTTTATCGCGAATTGCCAACCGCCATCTTGATTTCATCCATCCGCCATGTTCGTTTCGCTAGCGAATTTTAACTAATATAGGCATCGAAATGGGTTCTTTTGTGCATATTAACAAACATAATGTGACTGTCAATTTATTGCACAATATTCCGTCATTTGCACGGCCGGGCAGTGCTAAACCCTATTGATCAATAAATATCAATCAGTGTTGCCAACGCTGCGGCAATTGTCGTATTTAGTCTGCTTTCGGACCAACAAGTTACAAATAGTCTTGGGCTTAATCGGACATCTGCAAGTGCGCACCGTACTAGTACAATTGGGAAAACGTACTAGTACACACTTTTAGTACCTTTAGTACTTCAGATTTGTGAAAACACAATACATGAATAGAATATAACGAGGGTTATATATTACTTCACATCAAATTTTAAGCAGGGTCAAACATATGTTATTAGCGAAAATAAATTTAGTTATGAATAATTTTATCCACTTTTGATTCTCATTATCGAAGGTGGATGCTTCAATCTGACAAAAAGCCGAACACCGATATCGTGTAGTGTACTAAAAGTACTAAATGTCCGGTTAACAGAAGCCGTTCGGTAACTTTATTTTTAGTACAGTGCCGAGTAACATTACTTTTTAGTACATCGTACGTGTACTACCCAAGACTAGTCACAAGATCTATGGCTTCTGGCCGCAACCCTATGCATATTGTACGGTTTTTCGCATATCTATATGATACTTAAACATCAAACATAAGCAATTTTCAAACATTCATGTTCAATTGTTAATTTAAAGCATTATCTTTTGACAATCTTAACGTTAGTAAAATAACAATTTGAAATGAAGTTTACAATTAGGTAATGTTGAAAAGATTTTTTAAGTATTGCTATGACTCACCGGTGACCTTTATATGTAGCTATTGTACACAATATACACAGTCGGGAAATTTTTTTCAATGCCAACACTGGTAGGATAAACAGTGGAATTCACCCCGTCTCTGACCTTATCATGTTTTAAGTAGATTTTGCGTAATAGAATGACTCAATAATAGAATGAATAAACAATATCTTTACATGTTGTGTATGTACATTGCTATATTAATTTAATTTGTTACATATATTGTTTTTGGTTTGAGGTCTACTGGCAATCATTGCTTACTACATTTCATAATAGATATAACACAAGTAGTCAAAACTGAATGTATATTTAAACCAATTCTTGTAAATGTCTAAGCCCATAAATGCTATCATAGTGGCCATTTATTAAGTCAAACCTTAGTGGCAAAGGTGTTATTCTGTAGTGAGTGTGGTACCTTTCTATATTTTATTTTAATTTAAATTTACTTCAAAATAGGGCTCCAGAAGTCTTCTATTGCATATCACATTTATACTCTGAATCCTCCATCTAGATGTTTAAATCTATGGAAGAGATAGATATGTGTGTATATTAGATATATAGTAGTAGATAGATATGTAGTATATTAATTTACTATCATTAATGTAAGACAATTAGAATTTAAATATTAATGCATAAAATGTGCAGTCTGTCCAAATGGTATGATGTATGAACAGGGGGAAGTCAGTTTTAAATAATTATTTAAACCAGGGTTTTAGGTGCTAAATTCCATAAAACCATTAATAATAATAGTATGAGGGGGAAAATGTTTTATATTATAAAATATCACATTAGATTCATTCTGTTAAGATGCATATATTGTTGTTATAAATAGAATAAAAGGAGAGAAATTGAGTAAAAAATAAAATAGTGTGTTAAATATTCATTGACTGAATTAGTCGATTGAGCTTTTAGTTGTACTATATACCTTTAATGAACAGGGAATAGTCCCTTATGTACAGAAAAAAAATGTTTACCTTTCCCATACAGTTCCATAAATTTAAATTTTATGGAAAGTGAACTACTTGCTAGTTAAAAATTAATTGATAATAAGAAAAGCAAAAATATGTTTGATATAATTTGTTTTTTAAAAAACTTTGTTCTGTACAGTTTTAAATATTTTCACCAATGACACATTGCACAACTTTCACTCAAATTTATAAATGCCACGACTCCACTTGTTTCGACACCATTTTTTACACATAACATACATGAACATAAATACAATATTATGTGTTGCCCACGACTTCATCCTCATAAAATTTAGAAAAGCAAAAACAATTCCATGAAAACTATTCATTTTTCTAGGAAAAAAAACCATATGATGTTTTGGTGTGACTTATAACTTTAATGTATGTTATTGTAACATGTGCTAATTTTTTGTTTAATTTCATGCTGACGAAGTCGCAAGCATCAGCTAATGATGTATGTAAAAATTCATTTTGTCAGTATTTTATATCCATATATCATTGTCCTAAACATTTCCATATTAGTATGTTGCGCAATTGTTTTTTTATTTCATTGTATTACCCAATAATAATGATGTCCTTTTTATGTATTTCTTGATTTTTCTCAATCATATTTTTTTTAATACACGATATAATTCTATTTATGATCACATTCATCCTACAGACGCTGATTGCTGACCTCAATTATGACCTAAAAATCTTTATTTCAAAAGTTGACTAGTGGTACAACTTTGACTTGCATATTCCTGCATGTACACAACAGAATTCTTATGAAATGGTTTAGGTCTCAATTTTTGTTTTTTCTTATATGGCCTTTTCGTCTTTTAACTTGTCAATCTTCAACTTTATTATCTCAGCAGCCCACCTTGACTGGTACTTCGCTGTTAATAAATTAAAATTTATGTTCTGTTATGTGAAATGTCTAATCTTTAGTGTATTTGAGTTAATATGATGTTGGCAGTGTTTTATTATGTTATGAATGATCCAATTTTATCTTATAGTTTAACCTGTAATTATAATTTAATTTAAAGCACTATGCCACAGCCGGTAGTCGATTTTTCTTTCTCTATATTCTTTATTATATTTATTTACTGATTATCTACAATGTATTTATTCTCAGCACTCACAATATTCACTAATTCACCTATTAAGCAAATAGCACGCTGTTTGTTTCAATTAAACCTCTGATTATTGATTACTGTAGTGTTCAACATATGTAATATGATTTTGTTACAATGTTTTCCAAACTTTTTCGTTTCAAGGTGTGAAAGACATTCAAATACTTTATTGGAATACTGCCAGCATATCCTACTGAACTGAATAGAATAATTATCGTCATATTTTGCAATTGCGAAGGTTAAATCTAACGTTTTAATTTTTTTCTAAAAGGAAAAGCACCATAAAGCTAAGCCATGTATAAGTTACTTTTTTACCAATACACTGACACAAAAGTTGAATAGAAACACTGATTCCCCTCCGGGATTTTCATCGTTAGCCTCAAGTCCTCAAGGGGTTGACTTCGCTTTAAAATAAAGTGTCCCTGAAATGGTATCTTATGAATTTTAGCAGGAAAGTCTTCACAATGTGGTTTTCGGTTGATTTAATTTGCTAACAGTAGAATACTAGGTCTCTCGACAATTTTAAAACTGTAAAGTCTTATTTCGGTGTTATATCTTTTATGAAAGTGAAGATCGTTTTATTTTTAATTTTTAACAGTTTTTCATATGAAATAATTTCATGTTCTTTTGTTACAGCCGCGGATTTGTCCGATGCAATTATTGAACTGCCTCAGCGTTCTCCTCTCACCAAAAGGCGGTATCAAAAGCAAAGACGAAGTGCAGAGGCTTGCAAGGTAAGTTAATATAGCATATCAATAAATCATAATATAGATTAAGCTTCACTTTTTACCTCTTTTTACGTTATATTTATTGTGGTTTAAACATATGGAAATTAACGATCAAATGTTGACTATGATTTTTGTGTTCTAATAATACACAGGAAAATTTTTGACACCTCATGATGATAAACAATTTTGGATAATATCGCGTTGTTTTGCTATAATAAAATTAAATATGATGTGGATTTAAAATTTTAATTTGCTTAAACAACCTTACAAATAAAACAGAATAGACTTTACATGTCCCCCTATGAAAGGGGCCAGCAGACATTTATTGCCCTCCTGGCCCGCCAAATCTGACGTAGTTATATATTTACTGGTCCCCCTTTTTATTAATCATTTGAAAATGTCGTAATTTTTTCTTTTATATTGTTATCAAATGCTTAATTTGTGGATACATTTTATTTATTTCTTTGCAGTTTAATGACCAAATTCTCAAAGAAACTAGTGTCTAAATGTATATACATACAAATTTTAAAGTGTACTGAGACTGAACTACTGGGACTATTTATGGGTTCTGGTGGTTGGCGATTGGTACACATGTGGCTAACAGAAAGCATCGTCGCCAAAAATTGGCCTCTTGTCAGAGAGCTTTTAGAGCTTTTGCTGCTTTGTCCTGTTGACATTGAAAGACTGAAAACAAATAATTGCCCTAAGCTTGTCAAGGAATTATCCAAGGATGGAAATCACTATGGTGAGTTTAGTTTAATTCCTATTAGCCTTAATACGTCTTTTCATGTGTTTATTTATTTTATACTAATAAAAAATATATTTTAGCTATCAGGGCATTGGCTTCGAAATTGGTAGAGCAGTGGTTGAAAACTGTTAAAGGTGAACATGTTGTGCCTATTTTACTCACTGATATAACACATATAATATCAGATGCACAAACAGAAATTGAACCTAAAGAAAAAAATGAAATTTTAACGGAAACCGAACAAATTGAATGTGAAATTAACGGCGATAATTCTTTAAAAACTGGGGGTTCGTCACCTGAGTTATCGACTCAAGACAATAATGATATTATTGATACGGCTAAAGACACTGAAAAGGAGCCTGAAACGCTTCCTGTTTTAAAAATAACTCTAAAAAATGGCAAACAAATAATATCTCAAGTAGATGAAGATAGTGTAGCGTCGGATGATGTTTCTGACAAGGATAAAATAAGAGATAAACATAGGAGTAGAAGTAAAGAAAAGTCTAGTGATAAAAGTAGTAGTAGTTCAAGATCTAGTTCTTCTAAACATTCAAGTAAATCTTCGAGTGATAAATATAAAAGTAGCCATAGAAGTAGTTCTAATAAACATAGTACTAAGGAAAGATCGAAAGATAAAGAAAAGCATTCATCACACAGTTCAAAATCAAAACACAACTCGAGTAGTGGAAGCAGTAGTAGCAGTAGAAAGAGCAGTTCCTCTAGTAGGTCTAAAGATGATAAAACAAAACATAGTTCTGAAAAGGAAAAATCCAAAGATAAAGACGATAAAGGTAAAGAGTCGCCTAATCCATCCACAGAAAAATCTGATGATAAACCATCCATACATAAACTAGGAAAAATACCTAAATTAAGTGATGTGAAGAGAGAAAAACCATCTATTTCGATAGAAGTACGAAAACCTGATGATCCAAAGCCAAAAACTGTTAAAACTTTCCATTCAAAGTTTAGAAAACATGGGCTGGAGGAAGAAGTGAAACCTCCGCCTTCGCGCGCTGCGCTACTCAACAAGAAGCCCCCTCCCACGTTACCCCCTACCATACCGGTACCCAAGAGGTCTTCGCCAGTTCACAACGATACTCCGCCTGAAAAGAAACTTAAAACCGTTGACATCGTAGAAAAACCAGGAGCTATAAAATTAATTCCACCCAAACCGAAGCGTGAGTATATTTTTAATTATTTATTTTCCAACATCTTAGTAATATATTTTATTTTTACAGGAAAGGAAGGTCCTCCTTGGCCGATGCCTTCAAGAAAATACATATATTTAGATTGTAACAGTGGTAAGTCTAAAATGTATAAATTCACGGGTTTCATAGTGTTTCTTTATTCTGTAAAGTATTTATTACAAATAAATGCTGTATTTGATGAAATTTTTTCGTTGAATATGACCTGAATCTGTTCAAAGACTTTGAAGCACGATAAGGTGAAAACATCGGCGCAATGCTCTGCTTCTGCCGAAGAATGCGGCCGAACTGATCGCGACAGCGGGACCTTCGCACGACGTCGGCTGTCCTCCGACCGTCAGGGGAAATAACTTAAACGGCCCAACAGGAAACCTGTAATTAAACACGAAACAAGCGCATCAATAATATGTCAGGATATTAGACCCTATCTTTATTTATATTTTCTATTCTGCAACTAATTATGCCAAACGAGTTCATCGTTCACAATCTTAGCGACTAATACTAGTAGATTATGAATGCGAGATGTTTGAATGAGATTACTTTTCCAATCCTTATAAACTAATCTTGCGTATTTGACAAACTGGTTGCAATATTTACAAATATTACACTAGTACGGCGAGAGTATTATAAAATAATAAAAGTGTTTGTGATAAGTATAATAAAATAATAAATGATTAATGTTTACCAAATCTAAAGTATGTTTATTACTATATTGGTTGCATCAAACTGGTTGGTGTAATGGCAGACACTCTTAGAAAAGAATTATAAAACTACCACTTACAACTATATAGCAGGCACACCAGAAACTAAGTATGGCAACTTTCATAAAAATAAATTATCTATAATCTCGAGTTAAATTTGTGTACATTACATAAGCATAATTAGCTTTTTGAATTGATATAAATATTAATATATAGGTGAAACTTTCCTATTTTATCTGTAGATGTCGATTATAATTATATAAGTTATTTGCTTTGCGTTACTAATTGTCTTGTGTTGACCAAAAACGTTAGTCTTTAGAGCTTTTCCAGTTACCGAAGGAATTAAGGGATGAATTAAAAATATACGTCTCTCTGCTTTTTGCCATTACTTGCACGGTAACCAAAAAGTAGTGTAGTTCTTAGTTTTGAGACTAAAACGAAGAATTTAAAAAAATATTTACAAAGAACGTAAAATATACTGTAGGGTTCATCTAAGCTGTGAACATGATTATTAAGTACTAAGTAATTACAAAATCAAATAGAATTCTATAATATTAAGAGAAAAAGATTGAGTAATAAATACATATTTTTAGAAATAGTTAGTTACAGCTTAAGAAAGTAACAGTGCCATTCTAAGTTTATTTATATAAAAGTGATTCAAAGCACCAGTAAAAATAACCATGCGTATTAAACATAATATATATGTAATATCGACAACTCGCAAGTATACACAGCTCTTTGCAATTTTCCTAGGTAAATCTTAGATAATTCATTCATTAAATAACTACAAATTCATTTCATTGGTAGTTTAGCTTTTTACACTGCCCTATCAGCTATTCTTAGGGGACGTTTAGTAAATTACGGCCAATTAATGAGGTGTTTTCTATAAAACAAAGTGTCGAAATTTGAGAATTGCAATTTAACGACTCTACCGTGGTTCTGGGCAAATTACAAACTGTCTGTGTATATAATGAGCGAATATAGTACAATGACACAAAATAGAATATTACATCTTTTCCTAAATAATTAGCTCAGATATATACCTATTTAACCCAACCCAATCGGTTTCTAAATGGCCGAACATCTCAAATACATATCTAAATGTAATTTGAGGTAATTATTCAGACGTACAAATTGAATAGTATTAAGAAACGCTATTTACTTCATCTTACTAATATTATAAATACGAAATTAGATTAGTATAGAGGTCTTTAAATATTTTAGTGCGATGTTTTATTTTCGATAAATTCTGCTGCCAACAGCGCAAAAAATTGATAAACAGGATTTGCATCTATATAAACATTTAGATCTCTAGGAAGGTATTGAATTTAGAAAAACTTTTAGTATTCGCGTATGTAGTAATATTTGTTCAAAATTCTAACTAGCCCCAGTAATTCGTGTGCGTTTATATGTTGGACAGTCGGATCAGGTCAAAGCAAGCAAAAGCAATTTCTTGATTTCAAAAATTTAAAGGAAATGCGAATGCTTTGTGTAAAAGAAAAGTAGCTCTAAATTGCACCAGTTTGTCTTAACGTTATCAGAAATGTATGTACTCTGCACTTGGTTTGTGGAAACGGAGCCATCTCCATACGATCTTTTTTCAAACCTTTATTGTTAAAAACAATTTAGAGATCTTAAAATATTTCCAACATATATTGGGCATGTAGGAAAAATATATTTTACCTATATGTCTGATTTAAAAGCACATGCGTGCGTACCTACATATCTCGCGGTTATTTAAATGAACGCCTAATTACAACATAAGATGTGCGGATGGATACATTGCACATTTTATCTATCAATATTTCGGGCGCACACTTACATCCAAAATCTAAATAAACCTTAAGCGTTCGTTTGAAATGAATATGTTGTTAGTTAAAAGCATATTTTACCGTCTAGCAATGTAAATAAATTACATTTGAAATTGAAATCAAACATGGAGCCCTCTTTCTACAAAGTAATTTGCAGAAAAGGCTTCGACAATGGGCTCTAGGCCACTTTTTACATCCGAAATGGAATTTATAAGATATGCAGGTGGGTAACGATAAACAAAAGAGAAGGAAACTGATTTTTTCTACAAAATTATGCAAATATGACCCCTGATTATTCGGCTAATACGGCTAAAAATTTGAAAATTTACAATGCTTTTAGGAAAAAAATACTACAATAAAGTAGTGTAATCGGAAAGTGGTCAGTAAGGCCTCTAAAAAATACGTTAACAAAATTTATGTGCGTATTTACATTTTTTTTCACTTACTCTTAAAGTTGTGTTTTTTTAAACCTCAAAATTCGCAATTTCATAAATTAGAACATTTTACTTAATATCGTAGTAAAAATAATAGCTACTACTTTTACACTTATCGCTTTGCATCTATTTCAATATCGTGATTGATGACTCGCTTTGGATGCTAAGAATTTTCCGTAATCACAATAACACTAATAAAGTTCATTTCAACCGACGGAACATAGAATACAGGCCACTGTATCGTACAAACAGTTAATTGCAGGCTTATTTACACGATCTATAATAAAATCAAGACATACTAAAGAATTCAATAATTAGTTTTCGATGCGACAAAAACATTACGTTATACAATTATTTCTTTCCAACCGAGATTGCGCAATTAACTGGCTCTGCCAAAATTACCGTTGCTCTAAGATGCTTGGAACAATTTCTGGATATCGTATTCATTTAGTATCTGCTATGGGCTAGGCCTAAGGATTGATAGGTCGTTAACCAATTGCAGCTACTCCACCACAACATTGAAAGTAGATTTAATCTAAGGGAGACTAAATCCTAACCACATTACTAATAAAATGCTCCCTTGATCCCTTGGTATACAGATATTTTGTATCATGGTCCTGAGATGAAATCTCTAAATTCCATTTTCACACCTAACACCATTCCATCCCATGTATGTTCTATAGAAACAGTTATACCCTCCTAATGTATTTGGTGAGCTATTACCATTTTCTCATACTTTTATTATGTTTGCATAACAAGTAATACAAATAATTGTATTACTTGCATATGCAAGTACTATTTTCTTTGTTAATCGCGGTAATGTGTAGTTTCTCTTTTCACAAAAATATTCGTACCTAGAAAATTAATAAAGTCCGATGTTTGTATAATTGATTTAGTTTAATTAATTAGCTTTAGATCTAAATGTAGTCCATGTTAATAGATTAAACCATTCTTCGTAGTGTGTTTTTCGTATATGTAATGTATATAGTTTACATGGATGGATGTTCGTTAAAGTTTGTAGCCTAAACGGATTTCGAAGAAATTTAGATGTAGGGAATGTCTGGAAGAACATGTTAATTGCTTTTGTTTTTGTTTTTTTTAATTCCACGCGGACCAAATCGTGTGTAAAAGGCAGTACTAAATAAAAACGCAAATGTCACGAATATGCACTATGCCTTAATAATACACAAAAAGTACTCTCAATTGGCAGTTATGGGGTATTGACTGCTGACGAAGGCTTCTCAGTACTAACTCCTCCGTGACCCCATAATTATTCGTTTCGTGGTAGATATAGGCTACTCTATTGCCATTCCCGCACTTTTGTGTCCCTCCGGCCATTAGTCTATCGAACACGGCCCAAGTCAAGAATGTTCGCGGTTCATGCAATAACGGTCACTTTGGTTTTACCGCGCACCAAATTATCTTTGATGCGATCTTACAAATAAACTTTGGCAAAGGTAATCGCGCATTGCCTTTATCTATTTTTTCGTGACTTCGATATCTTAGTAGTCGGTATACGTTTATAACTTGATTGTTTGTATCGTTCATGATAATTAACAAGTTGAAGGTAATGTCAAACGTCATCCATTTAGTTCAAGTGTTCGAATTTTTAGTAAGTCTTGAATTCGAATCTCTTTCAATTAAATTAGTTAAAGCGAATGATAATTTATGTTTAACATTTTTTAATACATCTAAAATAAGAATTTCTGATTTAATATGTAAGTAGCGTAATTTAGTTTTGTAATAAAAACTGGTTTAATTGTAATTTTTGTATCAAATTGTTTTTTTTTTATAATAACAGTTGTTGGATGATAACAGTAATGGAAAGTTCGTAACAGTACTCAATCCCATGGATATCAACTGGCATGACTCTACTATAACCGTTGTAACAAAAAGTCCTTTACTCCGAAGATTCAATGATTTTTTTACTTCGTCGTTTATATTTAAAGAAATCAACAACGTTAAAATAAATTATCTTTATATATTTATTCATTCTCGTATGAAATATGCCTAATTTTGTCGTCGGCATCATTGAAAAACTTCCTACGTTATTTATATAAAAATTAAAGACAAAAATAATTCATGACATTTTTGTCTCTGAACCTCATTCTATTTGTGTTTACGTTCCCTATAAGAATATGATTTATTAAAAGATTGTCTATCACTGTGGAGAATTAATTGAGCTCAGCGTATAATCCATCGCTAAATGTGACGGGATCAAATATTAACGTGCCTACATCATGCGATTGTACTAATAATCAGAAAAGCTTAAACTATAGAAACTTAGCCAGAAAGAGATAGTTCGTCTAACCCGCTGTAAAGACGCTCGATTTACCGTTACATAATAGCGCTTTACTATGCGTTATCATTATGTAACTATTTCAAGAATACCAAAACCAACCTTATGTGCGTATCTTGAGCGACCATTGCTATTGATGTTCACATGGTTAGGTTTTATATTAACATGGTTAGTTGAGTCGAACCCTATATTATTTGAAACCAAAAAGACGCTAAACTATGTCAAAATTAACTGGCACAAATTAGTTTATGTTCATAAGTACGAATAAAACATAAAAAAATATTGTTTGGCGTGTATAGCAATCGCTTTAGTGTTTGCAAAATTATGGATAGAAGGTGGAGAATGGATACATTGCATGTTGGTTATGAGGACACTTGAATCTTGCGTGAACATTAGTTTAGTGTTTAGAGTACTGCTTATTTTTAAGAGTTAGTTCTTCTATTTTTAATGAGATAAATGTTTAATTCTGGTCAAAAAAGGCGATTTATTGATGTCTTAAGGAAAATTAATACAAGGATTGTGTTATATATTTAAAATGTAGAATTTATTCACTTCTGATTTTTTAAATGTATTTGTGATTATGGAAACCCGTGACTGTACATTTTGACTTAATACTGTTTTCAATTATTTGAAGTATTTTCCTTTTGATATGTTTCAATAATTATTTTTTCTGTTGTTACAGCTATGATGTTGCTCGAGAGTGATATGTTCATGGATGCACTAAATGCCTCGGCAACAAACAAAAAAGAACCTAAGAAAAGGAAACGACGTACCAGCGGATCCAAAGATGGTAACGCGCCAAATGATTCATCTCCACCTCATACTCCGACGACTGTCGCTAGTCCTAACAGTGAAAGCAAATCAGTACCCCCAAGATTCTATCAAGATACTCTGGACACGGAAGAAAGCAGTAAAGCATCACCAGAGAAAAGTACCGATAATAATGAAGAAGCCGATCTCGATCAAGAAATCGAAAATAATAAAGAGGAAAAAATGGATGTTTCGGAACCCCATACACATACAGTCAACGGCTTGAAAGGTGTCCTTTGTTACCATAAAAGAAAAGGTCCTAAGAAAAGCATAAGATGGCGACCGGATTCGGAATTAGAGGAAATACAATACTTTGAACTGGATGAAACAGAACGTGTTAACGTTACAAAAACATTTACAGACATGAAATATTTAGAAAGAATTCACGAAAGAGAAGCTTTTCAGAAGGGACGCAATCTCAGTAATGATGATGTAATGGAAGAAAAAACAAGTTGGAAATCATTAATTTCCATTGACTTAGATGGTCAAATACAAGTTGAATATGGTAAAAATAGCAAAGAGAAAGATATACAGGCTATTCGGCAGAAAGGTACATTGCAACCTCTTTACTTCCATAAATCAATGATTCCCGACTCACCGCATGAACCCGATGTAGAAACTCACACATACTCTGAACCAGCAGTTATACCATTAGACGATGTTACTGGCAATCAAGACAACATAAGTGATTTTCGCAATATGCCATGGCCTGAACCGAAGGGTAATGCCCCGCCTTCATCAAACACCAACATAAATGTACCTACAATGTTTCCACAAAATATGCCGCAATTTCCTTCAAATTTCCCTGGCACGCAGTTCCCAGGCGTGCCACCAGGGTTTCAAGGTGCGCCCATGGTTCCTACTGATTGGCCAAATGCAGTAGCACCAAATATGATGCCAAATGGAATTCCCGGACCGATGGCGCCTACTGGTCTTCCACCAGGACCTATTCCCCCAGGAAATATGCCTCCCGGAATGATGATGCCCCCAGAAAACATGATGATGGGTCCGGAAATGTTTGGTGCGCCTAATCCCCTTTACCCAGTGCCACCTGAAGGATTTAATATGCAGCAAAACATGTTTCCCATGGACTTTAATATGGCAGGACCACAGGTAGCTCCAGGACCAGATGGTTTTAACGGCCCTGGTAATTTCCGTGGCGCTATGCGAGGTCGGGGTGGAGGTTGGAGGGGTAAAGGTGGAGGAAATTGGGAAGGACCTCCGAGAGGTCGTGGGGGCCATGCGCGGGGTAATAGAAAAGTTGTATGTATGTATTTCCAGAGAAAGGGTTCGTGTAGGCAAGGCGACAATTGTACTTTCCTTCATCCCGGTGTTAATTGTCCTTTCTAATTTCTAGAGCTTATGAATATGCAATAATGTGTACAAAATTATAGGTACATTTTAATAAGATTTAATTTAACGACCAGGCCGGTCCAAAAAAGACTGCTAATGTAAATTTGTAAATAATTAATGTAAATATTGTGTTAAAAACTTTTTACGAACTTGGTGCAAGTAATAAAAATATATACTGTTATTGCTTACGTTTATTGGTTACCCTATCCTTTCATTTTCTATAGCGCTAAAAAAGTAGAGATCAGTGGTAATGATAATAGAGGTCAGTGTGTTGACTCTTGACCGCAGTTTATATAAAATGGCTAAACAATTTAAGGTTCTTGTTCATTGACGTTGATAAATAGACATGCTCTAAGACGAGATATTTAGCGCCTATTCGATTTTCACTATTTTAGCCCTGGCGGTGGGAGTATTTAAACTTGTAATAGAGATGCTACTTAATAACCACGACGAGTTTGTAAAGACTCAAGAAGAAGAAGAAGAAGAAGAATAGAGATAGAATTAACTGTCAGTAACCATCTCGGGCTTTAAAGTTGGAACGAAGTAAAAGCTGACATTGCCAAGTGAAGACCTATCTACTTAAACATATTAGTGATCTTTTAGGGTTAGTTTTAAAAATAATAGGTATGGGTTAGTAAAATCGAATAAGAATCTTTTCGATTTTCGACAGTCGTTCATGGAACTTGTAAGAAAACTATAAAAAATTCTCAAAAAATAAACCAAAATTTATTTAACATTTTTAGAAACTTTTTTACAATTGTCTGATAAATAGACGAATAGGTATAATGTTTAGCAAATTAAATAAAAAAAATATTTCAATGTTTACCAAATAAAGTACTTCGTTTTGAAGATGAAAAAGAAAACCATCGAAATACTAAATTCTATAAATGAATAATTTAGTTCGCATCCCATCTCTACTACGAGTTGTCATCAAGTTCAAAGTTTATAAGTTGTCATTGTCATTTTTTTTTATTATTCCTCGTTTGCAAAATCAAGTGGTTGTGTGACAGTTTCCTTTATCCAATAATTATGTTTTCCTTTCTTTTGAAAAACAACTACTTACAAAAGTAGTATAGTTAAATACCTTTTGTTTCTTTTATCAAATAACAAAAGACAAGTTTTAAGATGGTCTTATTATGTTTTGATAATTTAGTTATTTTCGATAATCTAGCGTTGTATTCTTTATTTTCATCCTGTGGACATTAAAACTTGTTATGCAACGTTGGTTTTTCATGCAAGAACAAAAGAAACTAAAAAAACATAAACCAAAGGTTAACCAAGGAATGGCTGCTCAAAACAAAACTAAAGCAAAACCGGAAAATCTAGTTATGTCCCAAGAATGGGTGTTTACCGTTTTGGTTCCTAATTTAGGCCCTAAAGAACGGGTTTATATATCTGGAAGTACAGCAGAATTGGGTGAGTGGGACATAAAAAAGATGGTACCATTGGAACCGAATGAAGGTACAGATTTATGGAGCACAAAGGTAATAATACCAAACACTTGTGATGTTTTTTATCGTTACGCCATATGTCTAGTCAATGAAGATACAAAAAATTTAATTGTTAGGAGATGGGAGGTCAACATCCATCCAAGAGTTATTAAGGAAAATGCCCAAACCCCCTCTACAGATATATTTGGAGAATTTCAAGGTGATCAAAAAATAAATAGAGGTTGGCTTACAACGCAGACTTTAGTGCAATTTAAATTCATGAATGAGCCATTGAAATTGAAGAGTCGTCTTACAAACAGAATAATGCTTATTAAAGTGACACCAGTTAACTTGTCATTTGGAACTGAGGGCCAATATGAGGACTCGCAAAGTATTGACACTCAAGAAGGGGAGAGTCCTCTTGGAGTTACTGTTGAAGTTTGTACACTTGACAATGATCCTCAACTTTGTCAGTTACAACCACAAGCGCAATTTGGTAGAGAATATAGAGCTAATGATGTCCTACTTGTTAATATGTATGCCCCAGATCATAAGGTCCTAGCCTATCTTATTGATTTCTATTCACACAGCAGTCGTGCAGCCATGGATGATCCTCCATATCATGTTGGTTACACATATGTTCTGCCAAATATGTTTAAACCATCTGAAGGGGACTTAGAGTTACCGGTAACTTGTAATGTTAAACATAGACCTCTAGGTACTGTCAATTTTGAATATCTCATTGTTTATCCAATGAAGGAAAACATTTGCAACATGCAAGTCTCATATGCAAAGCACTGGGATCCCACATGGACAGGTTTGGAAGTTGGTCATCGAGGTTTGGGTGCAAGTTTTAAAACAAAAGAGTGAGTTATCATGACAAAATTTTTATTTTAAACATAAAAATATTTGCTTATCATTGACTTATTCATTCCATAAATTCATATTTGAGACTTCAGCTGTTAGCCATATTTTAATAATTTAGAAAGTCTTAAATGTGCCAGTGAAGGACTTTTACTTTGTATGACTGCAACCATATCAAAGTGAATAAACCATATATTGCCATCATAAAATATATGGCTTCAGCTTGAGTGCACTCTATAATGAAACTATTTTCAGAGGAAATGCTATTCGTGAAAATACAATAGCTTCTCTAAAACAAGCAGCTGCCAGTGGTGCTGACTTGTTGGAATTTGATGTTCAGCTAAGTAAAGATATGATCCCAGTCATATATCATGACTTTCATGTATGTATTTCAATGAAACGAAAAAAGGAGGTTGATTTTACAGAGATGCTAGAATTGCCTGTGAAGGACCTTACTTTGGAGCATCTGCAAAAACTCAAGGTATAATGTTGTGTAATGTCAATCAAATGTTTTGTGATTTCATGTAATCCTGATTAAAAGTTGTCTTATAAAAGAGTGCAATGCATACTAGTCATTCATTACTGAGATGTTATCTATCATATGTAGAATTATATAAAGCTGGTAATAAGGGAAAACAGCATTTTAAAGTGTTTTAGATACTGAGGTATCTATTAAAAATAATTGAGGGACAAAAGAAATGTGAATTCTTTCATTTTTAAAAGCAATAAATTATATTTTCCTTATGTCTTTCTAGGTTTATCATTTAGTTGAAGGTCGTAACCATGAAATTCTGTTCTTTGATGAAGATTTAGAAGAACATCAGCCATTTCCTACATTAGAAGACACTTTAAACAGTATTGACCTGCATGTCGGATTTAATATTGAATTAAAATGGACAATGGAGCTTAATGATGGCACATTTGAACTGAACAATCCTTTTGACATGAATGTTTATGTTGATAAGGTATTATTTAATTTCACAATGCAACTATTTTAATAAGAAACACGAATAATAATAATAATGTTATATTTATAATTCTTACAACAAAACTGAAATATCATGACATAGTTTACTACAAAAACATTATTTATTACATTATTAAATAGTAAAATAACATTTTAAATGTACAGGTTTTGGAAGTTGTTTTGAAGTGTGCAGGCGAGAGGCGTATTGTATTTTCTTGTTTCAACCCTGACATTTGCACTATGGTCCGGAACAAACAGAATAAATATCCAGTTATGTTTTTAACTGTTGTAAGTATATCATATTTTTAATAGTTCTAATTATGTTCATCTTTTAATAATATATGACTTAATATTATAAATGCAAAAGTTTAGATGGATGAATGTTGTAAGAGTTTTTTTTTGCCTAAATGGCTGAACGGATTTTAAAGAAATTTAGCAAAGATGTAGAACATAGTCTGGAAGAACACATAGGCTACTCACTTTTTTTTTAATTCCACGCGGACAGGCTCGCGGGCGTTAGCTATTGTTAAATAAAAGAATACTCTATTGACATACATTTTTCATTAACACGAGATACTTTATAAACTGTTTATTAATCTTAAATTTCTTTAAGGGTATTACAAACAAATACCAGCCTTACAAAGATCCCCGATGTTTGACCATCCCTGCAGCAGTACAGAATGCCATCAGCTCTGACATCCTCGGAATTGTAGTTCATACAGAAGATCTACTGAGAGATCCAACTCAGGTAAGATAAATTTCTTATTATTTAAATTCTTATACACTACAAATTAAACAAATAATGCAGTTGGAAACATTTTACTCCTCAGGTTTTTTTTTCTTTGTGAAATTCCAGAATTTTTATCTAAAATTTAACACTTTTTTCAATAAAAATGCAAAATGATTGTTGAAATAAATATTTTAATCGTAAAGGATTTTAACGTTCTACATGTATAGTTTATGATATCGCGGGTAACTGACCCTTAGTTAATCGGGTAATGACCTTATTTATCTTCTGACTCGTGCAAAACGTGATGAACAAGGTGCTAACTAACTGCAAGCATATGAATAAAGCAAATAGAAAAGGACATTTACCTCGTGATATGGGCCTTTGTGCATAAATTCAGTTTTTGGTAATAGATACTGTGTTTTTTTTATAGTCGAACTCAAAATTAATTGTTACGTTAGCGAAAATCACTTTAGCAATATTTGTTGCTCAAGCTTATACTTTATAATATAGATAAGGAATAAGGATGGATTTATTTGGTTGTTTAATTTTCAATATTGGAACAAAATAATAATACGAAAATTTTTCCGCTAATTGGATCATCAATATTTTAAATATACCTTGTACTTTTTTACTTTGTTTACTTGTATAGTCATTCGTATTCTGAAATAAATTAAATTACGTGCTAATAGTAGATATAAATAATAGACGTACTTGTCTAATTGCGTTTTGTTTGTACATTCAGTTGCGCTCTTCTAATATTAGTTCAGTCACGTGAATTACTTTTATCTGCTCCAAGGTTGACGATTGTTTGAGCTTCGCAACTCTAAAGGTGTATTGTATCGTTATTTGTAATTATGTTTAAAGAAACAAACATTTGTATGTTGCATGTTACAACCTTAATTGAAAATTAGTTCATGGTCCGTTGATTGTGTTATATCAAAATATTTTACCCCAAAATAAAGTAAAAGGAAGACAAAAAAACACCGAAATTAGGTATTCAAATCCCATATCATGTTAATATTAAAATATACAAGTGTATATATTGTGATCATGTTATAACTTCGTTAATCGAACAATGTTTCTAATTTTCAGGTTAAACTTGCGACTGACGCCGGACTTGTCATATTTTGTTGGGGCGATGACAATAATGATAAAGACACCATCAAAAAACTGAAAGAGATGGGACTTCACGCCGTGATATATGACAAGCTCGATCAATTTACAACAAAACAAGTAAAGGTAACTTTTGCTTTCATCAATTTTAATAATAAATCATAAACAAAAATAGGTTGAATGATTCAGGCTCTGGCAGACACAAGCATGTTCTAAAACAAAATTCGTTTTATTTCTTTTTTTTGGAACATCACGCCATTTAACCTCGGCGACTGCATATTTTTCAATCTACCCACATAGTTATAGCTTAACTTGATATAATTTCGCTTGGCGTAGTGCAGCGCTAGTTGTGAGCACGAGGGCTTTGTTGAGTAGAGTTGTGTTGGTGCACGCAGGAGAGTATATTCCTGGTGGAGGCGCGCGAGTCGCAGCGCGAGCTGATGACGCTGGCGGCGATGGAGGAGTCCCCGTCGGGCGCCTCCTCCGCGTCGCGCGGCAGCCTGGAGCCCGCGCCGCAGCCCTACCTCGACCTGGACGTGCGCACGCGCTTGCAGCAGCACTCCACGGTCACCTCGCTCGAGTCCCTCGCCTCCTCCATAGACCTCAGAGACGATCTCAATGACAGAAATTTAAAACGCAATAGAGATATCATTACGAACGTCGAGAAGGAGTCCCAAGTTAAAGAACAAAGGAAATCATTCTTCGGACTACTTCCGTCGGGTGATGCGGCGAAGGGGTCCCCCAAGAAGTCGCGTAGAGATAGTTAATACTCTCATTTGTACGCTTTTTCATATATTTTCCATTTTTTAATATATTTGCTCAATTTTAAATATGTAGTAGCTACGATTTCATCGCTTTATATACTTTATAGTTGTTACATTTGATATTATGTAAGTTTTTCTTTAAATTACTGCTACAGAATATTCTAAAGTATCATTTTACTTATTAATTGCCAGCCGAATATTCTGAATATTCGACTACTAAACTATTTTTGAAACTCATAAAAGTTTTAATAAGGTTATTAAATGTATAACTTCTATTTTTTTGAACAGTAATTTGTCGTGTTTAAATATTATTTACTACTAAAATTGCAGAAACTCTATTTCATTTGATCATTAAATCTGAAATAACTGAAACTTAGTCGTAGTAATTTGATAAAAAAAAAAGAAAAATGCGTAGAAATTTCTTATCATACAAATTACAAAAGTTCCAGATCCTTACTTTAATTTTTGTTACCAGTTTTATATAAGTATAAAATTTAATTTAATTTCTGTGACTAATTTATAAATACGTAACACTACCATCTGTGATATATTTCGTATTGTAACTAATCAGCATTATTTTTAAATAAATCTTAAGTTCCTCTGCCAAAGACAATTTATTTTATTCTATTTTTTATGCGAATTTTGTTTAACATGTCTGTACCCGAAGGATACATGTTCTTCCATAAAATAAAGGTAACAATTATATGAAAAAAAGATACAAGGTGAGTATCGCGACAGGGCACTGGACTAGTTCAATTCAAATTGTGTTTTCTTATTTAGTAATATTAATTGCTGTAATTTAAAACTTTTACCCTTATCATTCATGTTTCATACATATAAGAAACCATAATGCTATTTTAGCCAATTTAAATAAAGTTAAGATAATGCATATTAATAAAAAAATAAAATTATTTGTGTGTATAAGAAAACATCTTCGAAAGAAATAATTTTTCCTTGCCCTATTATGCGCTATTGCACACAAAGTTAAATTCTCTACAATATTAACGAACATAATAAAGATTATATATTTATGGGGAAATGAAAAACTTTTTTCTAGGATAGTGTATATTTGTAAATAAATACTTAAGATACAGACATGTATAAGGATATAATTGCTATTCTATGTATTAAGTACTTTGATTACACAGGACGGAATGTTTCTAATACAATCACAACATAAGTTTAAATAGGTAAAAAAATAAAATTATATAAAATACTTCATCTTAAAATATAATCCAATATATCGTGTTAAGCAAAATATTTATCGTATCCACCTTCAGAGATTAAATATACAAGAAAAAATATATTCATGCATATTTGTTACATAGAATAATATTGTATATTTACATAATGTTAAGGCATTAACGCTTTCTTGGCACAAGTTAACAATCAAGAACATTTTCGTTAGCACACATTTATACAAACCCCAAAACAGCTGCCTATCAACATTATACCTTATTGATATGTACCAAGTGAACACAATACTTGCGCGGAAAAAAACAATTTTGTATTTCTGTAAAAAAAATCTACTCCACTTTACATCGACTCTTCCTACTTTTTACACATGTTTTTTTTATAGCGATAATTCACATATTTATATAGAAATTCCTCACGCTTTATTAATACCGTAAACGTACAATTAACAACAAAAAAGTCAAGCTGAGAACGAATAATAATTCTTATCAGAATGAACCTAAATAATAAAAGCTAACAAATCGAAAGACCATTAGGAGGAAGGACCATTTTATACCATTTAAGAACTTAAGATTATTTTTCAGAATATCCTTACTCAATAAAGCAGTTACCTTTTATAATCTTTTGCAAAAATAAACTTGAAAAAAATCAATGACATAAAACGGATGAATTTATACATAGTCGCACATTTAATGGCACACATCACATTCATTTTACCATTAAAAATGACTTTTACATTTATCAGAATTTTAATATTTTCCAGGATTTACAGCAAAAAAATTCAAACATAATTTGAATAAATTTCAACATTTTGACAATATAAACAATTATTACATTATATTTAAGCATCAATTAATGAGATCTTGTACAGGAATGATCTCTATAATGTTGGATTTATTTTTAAAGTACTATCAGATCTCTGACTTATGATGATCTTAATATAAAAATAGTTTAGCAACTTTGGCTTACCTTTTAAATATTGTAAGTATTGAATTATTACATTTTGCAAAATATGGACTTCCGAAATTTTAAAATTTGATTAGTAATGTATTTAATCTGCTTTCCTTCTTATTTACCAATTTCTTTAAGACTAGTATTATTGTGATTTAATATTACATAACTGAAATAAATACTTTAAAATAAATAATTATTTTTATTCATACCCACTTAAAACCTTTGTGCGTGTGATGATATTTTACCCGTTATATAATAAAACAGTACATTGATTTAAGAAAATATAAAAATAATTAATTCCTTATATACCATTTTTAGTTAATAATAATTACTTAATTGTCTTTTATGTAAAAAAAATAGGGATGTAATTGTGTGATATAGGTAACAATTCCATAAATAAACTTAAAGCTAAATAAATGAAGATTACACATTAAGTAAAATAGATGTGTAACAGAAGTTTTATGTATGGCCGCTTAGATTTTGTGCAGAAATTCTTGTAGGTTTACCAACGAATTATGCTCAATAAAAAAAAAAAGTCCCGCAAACAAACCTGAACAGGACCAGACTGCTCTAAAGACTCCCGTTAAAACCGTTTTATTATTAAATTTGAAAATTATATTATATATCCTCATAAATATGTAATTTCTAAAACTAATACGAATACAACATTGAAAATGTTGAATAAACATCTATATTTATTAAATGGTCCACGAAATTTCCTTTTTAACTATAGACAATTTTTACAATATACAAATTACATTATTAATTTTTTAATATAAATTTCGATTGCATACAAGTTAGTATGTTCTTACTAAATATGATTAAGTACTTTGTGCCATAGCATTACGCATGGCAAAATTGATAACCCACTACATAATACCAACAGAGTTTACTGATATTCTTATTGTAATTAGAGACATTTTCAAAACATAATAAACAGCATACATAACTAAGCTTTAAATCTCTCGAAAAGGTACGGATTCAATCTCTTACAGCTACCCTATTTTTACACAACTAAGATAGACATTCAAGGTGTCTATGCATTTATTTTGGACGGATTGTTTTCACGTTTCAGTATAACTGATTATTTTGACTGGGTAACATGAAGAATTTAGCAAGACCTGCAGGTGGTTTAGTTTTAAGATGTTCTTCAATAAATTGACACGGACAGACGTATTTCTCTCCGTGTCTGCCGGCCACCATGGTGCTCAGGTTTAGTCGATTTTTGATGGCGTACGCTCCCCATCGTCCCGCGTATCGTAAAAAAAGAAGCGCAGCCCTTTCCTGTGCGAGACAAAACGCGATATATTCAGTTACATTTTTGTATTGTCAAGTCAGAGGTTTGTTTTAGGTTTATATGTAAAGCTGACTTGCCAATGTAATTTGGTCAATCGATACCGCGGCGCCTGAGCCAGTCGTTGCAACACGGGCAACAGGCGCGCGTGTCTTTTGGCTCTTTGTTGCGCAATATTCCCTCGACGTACTGACAGGGGCAGAGCGCGAGGGGCAAGTGGCGCGGCGCCGCGGGGTTGCCGCCCTCCTCGTCCAGCGTCCAGTACAGGCGACGCCGCAAAAAGTCCTTGCCCCAGCGTTGTAGGTACCGGAGG